AAATACAAATTTGTAGAGAGCGCGCACTGCAAAAAGTTTGCAAAGAAAACCCTATCACACATCCTCCTCAACCATCAGTAGACCAGCTAACACACGTAAGAAATATGTCCACATTCATTATGGACGTATAATACCAAAAGGCCCAATGCAAATCTTGGAAAAACATTCAACACATAGAGTCTCTGTTGTCACATATAGTAAGTCTGCAGCTATCAAAAGACAGGAACACTTTTAACCAAGTCCATATTACCCGCAACACATACAACATCTCTAGATTTCCTTTATTACTATAACATACCTAAATATTCTTCAGCTAGCTTTTTCTGTTTCGAAGTACAATATACATCTCTTCCAACTTTGCAAATAAGAAAAGATCCACAGGTCAATCAAATATTGATCCAAAATACTGATTTAAACACACACACAAAATAATTATTTTCTCTTTGAATTTCACATATGATGATTGATTCTGTGAGCAAATCTCTCCAAACAGCATTTACATATGCAAATGTTGGCTCAACTGTATTCCATAACTTATAAAACTGCCAAATATCAAAGACATTCTGTGAGTGATCTGGTATCCTACATATGAAAATGTAGGTCGTAACAAAAAGCACTACTAGCTGTATGTCAAAAGACCCATTCTAATCTTAGTGTTCATGGGTTTATAACTAAAGTCAAGCACATGGAGGTTTGTTTTTTTTGTTGGTTAAGGACATATTTTGCACTGTGTTACCTGGTTTCTCCTTTGTACCTTCAGTAAACTGAAACAGGGAAATACAAGAACTTCTGGAAGCTCTATTATAATGAGCTATGCTTAGAGTAAGAAAGGTGCCACACACTTAGGTATACAAGGTCCTTCTTCAATAAAATGCAATGTTCTATTGTTCAAATACCTGTTCCTGCTAAAAAAGTTGATCACTGAGAACAATAGTATTAATGATACTTTCATAAATATTTATAATGTGAGAGATATAAACTGAGACCTGATGTCACAAAGTGCCCCCTCTGTCCTTGAGCTTTCCACACAACACCAGCAGAAAGTGCTTTCAGTAGAGCCAGGCGCCCTCTGGACTGATCTCAGAAATCCTTCCAAAACGAAATATACTCTTTCCAAATCACTTTCAAAATGCAGCCCACTAACATTACTCATAGTGCAATTTCTCCCCCACCACTGCTCTTTTCCCTTCTCTGCAGAGATTATAATCTATGTTGCCACTTCAGTTATGCCACTCTTTTTCACTCACTTTCAGTTACGCCTGTCAGCTCACATGCCAGTGTTTAACAACACTTCTAGTCATGTTTGTTTGTTTCATGAATGTGTGTATAAACCATTTCAGGAAAGTACATATATGGATGGATGCAGCCAAAGCCAAATTCAGGAGAAGCCTATGCTCCAAGCCTCAAGCCTATGCTCCAAGCCTCAAGCCTATGCTCCAGTCAAATGTAAGCTAACTCTGATTCAGAAGCTGTCCCAGTGGAGACTGAGGACACCAGAAACACCATCAAAAAGAAATGGTAATGGATTGGGAAACAGAAGACATAATTCTACCCTCCCTACTTTGCTACTGACTGTGAATAAGCCAGGCTACTGATTCCCATCACATCATTTGTCTGCCTTATTCATTTAGATTGTAAGCTCTGCAAGGCAGGGAATATCTCGTGCAAACTGTTTGCAAAGAGCTTCTTCACACAAAGGAATTTTGAATGGGAAGCCTGTATTAATATAATAGTGCTTCTATTAACAGTAGTAAATTTCAAATTGTGCACATTGAGCAAAATCATCAATCAATATATTTTACTTCCAGAAGGCTTGTTACTAATTTTGCTATTCTTGGAGGCAAGGACAATATTATTATAAGCAGTCACCTCCTGTTGCAACACTACAGTGTTCCTGATACGCAACTACCACCTGTTCATTCCTTTGGTGACCGTTACGGCTCTGTTCTTTTTCCCTTATGACTGGCACAAGAAGATTTTACCACTGTTCTCATATACTCTTGAGAGCTGCCTGAAAGAATTCCTATTTTGGGCATATATTAATTAATTACTTCTATTCATGCCAAAGTGAACTGTAATCAGCAGGGAGCTCTTCATCATTTTTCAGAATATTTAGCACCCTTACAGTGACACCATTTGCTGTGCTTTTAGCAAGCAGCTTATTGCTCTAATTCCTTCTTATGAGATCCAAATTTGCAGGCCTCATTCTTCATCCAGTCATTACCAATCTTTCCTTACCATGGCTCTAATACCACTACTTGCCCCTTAGTCACTAGCTAAGACACTGATTTCCCCTGTGCAGAGCTGAATCAGTGTCTAGTCTTCCTCTTATTTTTCAAGGACAAAACACTTATCTGAGGTACCAAATTAAATGTCTTCACACTTCTTCCTACAGTTTTTCTACGGTTGTTGTTGTTATCAAATTACCTATTTAAGACCTCAACTTTCTTTTTTATAATAATTTCCCTTTAATGTTTTTCCATTCTATCTTCTTTTTCTGTTTGTTTTTACAGGTTTCAGCTACCATGAAAGATCTTTCCTTCTCTCCAAACAGAAAAATAAATGCAGCTTTTACATTCTCAGTTATGTTTTGCATTAGCTGCCTGAGATCCTAAAGTAGCTGTCAGTCCAAATCTACTTGTTCTGTGAGCTGTGAAACCAATAAAGTTTGCTATCCTGGAGTATTTCCTATATCCCTGCCCCATAATCCTGCAATTATCCTGCAAGCTTTTCCCATGTCCTCTATAATCTCATTATCTGTAATACTCCTTCAGTCCTCCTTCCTGACCTCTACATTCTCCAACAGTATCCTAAGACAAATAAGTTCAAAAGTAATTTATGAAAAATGGAAGGATAAAATGGACTTACTAGAAATTCTACATTTCCATAAAATGAAATTACTTAAAAGTGACAACTCAGTACAAATCTGTTTTTTGTTTTATTCTGCATGCAAATCCCTAGGCCTAGAAAACAAGAGCTAGTTAATTTGTTCATATGTGATGTTCACTCCGAAATTACAGATGCAACATAAATGCCAGCAGTTAGTGTTTCAGTAGCACTCAAGTTTTACTAGCATTCAGTTCCTTATGCAAAAAGCCCCAAAAAGCCTACCATAGGAACTCAAACATCTCAAGCCCTCAACTGTTCTTTTTATGCAGACACATTTCCACAATAAAGAACTACACATACGCAAATATACGACAGAAAAAACTGCAAACACAGAAGCAGAGTAAAATACACTTCATTAAATATCAAGAATAAAAATACAGTTGATATGCCACTAATTATATTAATGCTTGCAATATTGAAGACAATTAAATAAAGGTGCTTGGATTATACTATCTGAAACAGCTTCTGAACTTCCTAGCTGCTTTAGAAGCCAAAAGTCAAAGCAATGAGTCCAGGTTCAGTTTCCTAAGTAATAAAAATTCTTGGCTACACATGGTAATTCTGACATTCAAATGAAATTAATCAAATCATCAGCAGACTTGTACACTTGAAAAGCAACTTTTAATTTACCCTGACAACATGTTGTAGCTGACAACAAACTTGGCTGCAAGAGCAAAAGTAGGCTCAAAATCTGTTTCATGCTGACATAAAATGGCAGTAACAGCAATACCTACAGCTTCCAGGAAATGTTACATGGTTCAGAAGCTTCTGACAGAACAACACAGACATCAAATTCAGCAAATGACAATTTCTAGAGTTCACATTATTTTTTTTCTTACATTTTCATATATCTGTTTTCACATATAAGTAATTGAAGGCACAATGCTGTTTATGCCATGAATATGTGCATCAATATTATCCACAGGTGATGTATTGGAGACTGACAACAATTCACATTTCCATACCTTCCTTTGTGTGTTGGAACTCCCTAAAACCCTTTGCAAAGCAAAAAATATCATAATCAAGGAGAAACAGTGATAGGTCATCAATACGGTAGTGACCTTCTGTACCCAGGCTTAGCAGCCATTCTAAGTACAGCAGTACTTCTGAAATATGAGCGCCAATTAATAGTTCTGCCTGTGAGGGATCATTTATATAATCACATGCACTACTACAAACTGCATCTGCAGTTTTTTGATACCACTGCAGAAGGACAACAATTTCATTAAATCAGTATCTGTACTTTGTCGAGAGGCCAGTAGGTTTCCCAAAGTTCCCTAAATGTCTTAAATGTGTGTGACCTTATGCTAAGCCCTGGCTGAGTGAACTCCCAAACCAACATACCGGATAAATAAATATATTTATAAAGCAACTGCTGCAGCACTGGCAATAGTAACAAAGGTAACAAGGAAGAGAAAACTAAACCTATCTTTCCATGCTTACTACTGCTTACAACAGCTGAACACCCCGCTGAATTTATGGAAGAGAACAATTAGCTGACCTTCAGGAGCTGAAATTCAGATACCTACTTATAGCCGCTCTTCCATGCTCTCTGCTCCTCTCTTAGCTTCATAGAGTTTTTGAGCTCAGTAGTTCTGTGGGCTTTCTGATCTGGAACCATCCCTCCAGCAGCACACTCACCTGCACAGGCGCAGCTGCACATGGAGCAGCGGCAGCCCTGTAGCTATCCTCCAGGGGTCACAATTGGGTTACAAATTCTATAAAATGTGATGACTGTGCAGCGTGATTTAGAGCAATTTATTCACATCCTTCTTCATTAAGATTCAAATGGAATAAGATAGAAATTGAACAGATACAGAAAATGTGCATGGCTTGCTTCTGTAGTCAGTAAACATTTATTCACAAGGCACAGCTCTCTCTCGTGTTCTCTCTCTCCTATTCTCTCTCTTCCCCTATCCTTCCTGCTTGCTGTTTTAATGCATAATTAAGAAGGTCAGAATTAATGAAGCATTGTGGAGTAAAGTTCAAGGAATCCCCAGGCACTATTTATTCTATTAGATCTCAGGCATGAATGCCAGATTGGCAGCATTAGAGGTAGAGGCAGTGTGGCTGGCAGCAGTCCAGAAGCAAAGCTACCAAGGGAGACTTACCTGCAGTGTCAAGTCATTGCTGAGCTCCCTCCCTGCAAAAATCACCCGCAGCTGGTCAGCTGGAACTCCCTGTCGCTGGGCAACCACCTCCTTCAGCTGGAGGATGCTGGCATCTGAACCAACCTCCACAGGGAAACCATGGCTAGAGTTGAACCTGACGAACACTGAAAAAGAGTAAAACACCTTTTAAAGCAAACATGTCTCATGACAAGTTTGTACTTGTGCCTACAAGAGGCTTACTCTTCTATTTCAGGGAGCATGAACTAATTTCAGAGAAAAGCTATTAATATTCCAGTATAACATTCTGAAACCCATCATAGAATAGTTAGTGATCAATAAATAAAACCCACATGTTTTCTAACCCTTGGCAGTGTTAGAAATTACAGAGAACAGTCAGAATCAAAAAAGACCCAGCTAGGCAGCTGTCTAACTAGTTGCTAATTGGTAAAATACATTTCAGTTCAGTCCTAACCTCAGTGGGCATGGCCCATACACGATTTCTGTGCCCCCTCACACTCGTGCTCACTGCATGTAACGAACTATTGCAGGAAACTGAGGTAGGCTTTAGAGCCAAATATATATTAAATAATACAAGGGAAAACCAATTCCTTGTTACACAGTAAAGCACAGTGATATAAGCTGGCTTCCCACAGATATAATTCTACAGAAGATAATGATGGAGAGAAAATCACACGCTAGCAGAAATGTTTGGGAGTATTACAGCATGGTCTTTTCAGAGTTCACTAAAATATCTGCAGTACATAACTCCTGCTGGCATCCACCTTCAGTGCAGAAAATCACTACAGCACCAGCCACATCATTTTTAGAGCTGCAGCAACTGGTTTATGCAGCCAGTGAAGTCTGGCAAACAAACATACAAGCTTCCTGCCATTCCGCTGGCAGAGGTGTTTTCCGTAAGGAGTTTGAAAGCGCTCATTGAGCCCATGGTCAGGGGAATTACTACAAGAACTATTAAAGGGGAAAAAAAAACATTACATCCATATCAGTCACAAAGACTGTATGAACAACAGTCGTGTCCCCCGAGGACTGCTTCAACCAATAGCTCCACAGGCAGGAAGCAAAGGAATTAGCAAAACCCAGTATAAAACAAAAAATTTCTATCAATTAGACAGTGGGCACCTGTCACCTAAACAACTTGGGTATTGATTGTAACAACCAGTCTTAGAGATTTATTTCCTGTTCCCACTGCAATCCTTTAGCTGAAGATGTTATTCCTTTGCATTTTTGATGACTGACAGAAGCATAAGCTCAAAAGCATTTATATTCTTTCAAGATACAACTCTTTTTAAAACTGAAAACTGTATTTCTTGTTAGTTTTCAAACACACAGTTTACCCAACCACTGCAAAATCAGGTATTTTAAGACCATTTCAGTATGGCTGAGAATGCTGCCATTGTCTTGCTGAGCAATGAAGGTTGTAAATATCTGCAATTTCACATCTTCAATTCAGATTTGTCTAATCTTTAAGGGACAAGGCCATATACCAGCAAAATTTAACACAACATTTTAAGTTTAGCACTTGAAAATACCCTCTTAATATACTAAAGTGGAAGGTAAGATTGCATAATATGTCAGGCAGGGTGTAGTACATATGCCCTGCAGTGTGCTACACAGTCTCCTGTAGTACATTGAGTTACTGGTTATGATTTCTATTTAAAGGTGTTCTGGAAATAGCTAAACTATGAAAAGCTCAGTAAAATCAGCAGAATTTGGACTTTATTTAATTGTGGTTTGGAAAGGTAGGGAAGATTTATGTGACAAAAAGGAGTTCCAGCCAATGGGAACTGAACATTCCCCATCTTTTACAGGAATACTCATAATGCTCAGCTGTAAATAACATTATCTGGGCTGGTAGCAAAATATATAGTTAAATCAATGGAGAATAACAAACTTTTTTAATATGCTAAGCTTTGACTGACTATGGCATATATGCATACATTTAGACATTTATATAGATATGTTCACATACACACATAAAATGCACAATGTGCATCTCCAAAGGTTTCTTCCTAATAAATAATCTCCTTCAGTCTTACAAAATCCACTGCTATTGGTTTAGGAAATGAAAAATAGTTAGCAAGTGCACTGACTGCAAATCAAATGTGTTAGCAAAAGGAAAGTGCTTCACAAAAGAAGCATAAACAAGTGTCATTTAAATTGATTATAAAGCATTTTTAAGGACAGTATAAATCCAACACATTTACCACAAGCATAATTCATGTTCATCGTCAACAATTCCCATCCCTTTCCTCAAATAAGTTTATTTTTATCCACTTCCAACAGATACAGTCTCCTTTTCCCAACCTATATGAGGCAGTGGAATTTTCAGTCTCACAATTGTAACCACAAGCAAATGTGGAAACCGGGTGCATGAGTCCAACACTTTGCACACCACAGCAAAGATTACACTACTGTCTTATAAGCCTGAAGAGCTAACTCAGAAAAATGCTAGAATGTCAAACTTCACTTGCTGGAAAGTTCTAATTCACAAATACTTTGCCCTTAAACACGTTTATTCTATTATAAAGTCTGAAATCCACAAAGCCTCTTTAATGTAAAAGAACAGAAGAGACCTTTGCTTACTTGCACAGAGCAAAAAAAGATTAAACACAAAACTTCAGTCTGTGGAATAAAAACAGAATTTAATTAATATATTTTGAGCTTCTTTCTAAGTAAAAGAAACTTACTTTCTTTTTGACATTTCACCTCAATCGAATAATCACTATCAAGTTGATACATAGAACACGTTATTCAAGGGATCACAGGTGAAGTTATGCAGACATTTGAGACCTCTTCCAAAGAATACATACTTTGAAAAGTCTTAGAATTTAAAGTTTGTCCTGGAAATTAGTATTGGTTTAACAGAAGATGAGGCCTAAATTGCTGATTGAAATCCAAAAGAAATAAATCAAGTTACTAAAATTAAGAAGTAGCTAAATAAAGCTGAAAAAAGGAGGGCCCATTTGTATCAGTCCTCCTACTCCCACATCTGTAAGATGTGACAAGCAATAAAGGTTGTCTGATAAAAGGAAACTTTGTGAGACTTGACTGTCATGCCAAAGGATAATCTCTGTAAATATCACAAAGATCAGATTCCCACCGGGACCAAGACGTACCTAGGTGCTTTTGTAAATCTCTTTTGCATCTACTTGAATCTCTGTATATCTTTAAAATCTCACTTTCAAGTCCACACGTTAAGCATAGTACTGAATGAAGGAAAGCAGTGTAACTGAAGCAGCAAATAAAAAAGAAATATGTAAAGATTTCACTACATCTTTCAGATACATAAGGTGTTCATCTTCATGCAATGATTTTTATTTTACATCTAACAGTTGGACAGTAATAATCTCCTGTTTGGAAGGATCAGCAAGTGCTACATAAGGGAATACTTGTAGTTTAGTAAGTTTTGAATATTTTCAGGCGAATTTCCCAATTCCTATCCACTACTAAAACTGAGTCAGCAGCACAATTCAATCACTTAGGATACAATATGATGAATAACTTTTCCACATGAAGTAACAAAAGAATTGTTAGTGAAGGGAAAATAAGTTAGGATGATTGTGACTAAAATCTTGTGTTCAAGACAATCTTGGGTTCAAGACAATCTTTAGCTCAAGACAATACTGGTCCTGGCCATGGGTCCATCCGTTACGCTTGAAGTTGCTACACATGTAACTGGGATACTGAAAGAAATGTGCATCTCAGCTGTGCGTGTTTACAATTCAGCATGTTAATACCAACACAACTGAAATTTAAGCAAAGGCAGATACAAACTGGTTAAACTCAGACGCAAGTACATGGGGCAGGTTTGGAGGGGAGCTGCAGAATTTCAGGCTGGAGAAAACTGTTGGATCTCAACAGGCCATTTCTCGGAGCCCTGGCATTCAGCAGCCTTTTTTCTTTGGAATTTATACCAAAAGTGCCAACACTTTAACCACCACTGCCATCAATCTGACAGGTTTTCTAGTTCTGAATAAAGAAGATAAATATTGCATTTCGGAGAAGCTTACGCCTTGCTTGTGAACAAACTGTGAAGGCACAATCTCAATATATGGAAGCAAAACAATTGAACTGTGCCAATAATGCAAAGAAACTTGCTGACGTTTTTACATTGCTACATACAAAACACAAATTTCCTTTTTAGATTTGACAGAAACTACTCAATTTCTTTTCTTCCTAAAGTAGTGACTCAGACAATCCTGCTTCACTGCAAAACAAACTATAACCTACAATTTATGATCTGTTGCAAAAGAATGTACATATTTAAGATCTTACTGCTGAGCAATTGCATTGTGTCCATGATAATTATGGCTGCTTCAGGTACTTTTTATTCCCCATTCTTCCTAGAGACAAAAAGAATATAAGCAAAGATTAACACAAGGATGGTGTGAAAAATGTGTATTTTTTTCTATTATTTTTAAAAGCCTTTTCCCTACTGAGGTCAGATGATAAGACCTTTGAAATGTCTTTTCCGAAGACTGGGGAAAAAACTCTTGTGATAGTATCTGTCTGTGGTGATCAGTACCTCTTTGGCTCAGCACATGACTTTAGAACACTGCTCTTCTCCGCTCAAAAACCCACAGCCAAACTATTTCACACTAGAAAGTACTGTCCCTTCTCAATATTATTTTTTCTCATAATCTGTGATTAATAATTTATCCAGTAAAATGAACTAGTTTAGCACAGATTAAAAACAGGAAAATGTACAGAAAGGATAAAGGAAAAGAAGGTGGAAATTAAGGTAATGCAAAATCCTAGCTACCTGCTAGAGTACTATGAAATGTTCTGTAAGTCCCTCCATTATGGCACGATTGCACATCACCTCTCAAGGAACAGCCTGGAGGCAGCTGTTCCAAGTATCTTTTTTGTTTCAATAAATAAAATAAGAACATATTTTTCAGATGCTTGGGGTTCTTGAATACTCTATCTCATGGTGAGATACTGTTCTATTATTTTAATCTTTATATTTGATGAACATAAGATACATTCGTACGCACTTTATGAGCCCCAAATGAAAATCAGTTGCTACCTGGAATTTCTATAACGTAAATTGTAGAAATGCAACTGTAGGATATATGTAGCGCAAGAAACTAGTAGCAGAACACAATATAATGTAATGGTAGTAAATCTTGTGCCACAACTT